ACTTTATACTCAGAATGATCAAACGGTATTCGCTGAAGGTCATACAGGTTTACGCACCAACCTCAGCACATTCTCAAGAGAAGGTGAAGGAAATGTATGAAAATATATAAAACCCACTATACAAAAAACCATAGAATACTATAATACACAATAGAATGGCTGTCAACCTTATTTTGTACGTGGATAGGCGTCGCCGGGAGCACACATATAAGAAATTACGTCGTATTATTACTACTACAAACTCGACTCGCTGTGTTGACAGACAGATTTTAATACATATATATTTGTAAAAAGCGTGCAATTTGGCGTTTTCTAATTAATTTGCATGCGAAATATGGAAACGATTGTAACGTCAAAACACAATTCGTGTTGACATTTATACGGCTGAATAAACGTGTTAATGACATTTTGGTGGCTACACGAGCTCCGCCCACTCCCCCGTTCTATTATGTATGTAATTATAGTGTTCTATGAGAAAAACATAGTGAGTGGGTAAGGAAAGGAAAAGATCCATTCGCCCTGCAGCTATAATACTAGCTGCAGCATAGTTCATAATAAAACTATTGTGGTCAATATCATCATAGGCATCTAACACAATGCCACAAGGCATTATGCCACCATCCCTTCCAGCATCCCTTACCAGATCTTCACTCTATCTAGTGTGGGCTACCCTACACTTTCCCTGATCAATTTTTTAAAAGAATACTAATAGTAACCCCATTAACGTTTGTAATACTCCTCGTTACACACTAAATAATGTTATAAATGCTCGTGTACCAGAGGCTCACCAGAGTAGTCGAATGACAGATTCAAATCCACGACGTTCTGAGTTTGCGGTTCGAACCATACCATTAAGCTACTGTCGATTATCGTTACAGCTTTTAAAAATAAGGGTTATTTAGCAAAGTTGCCACGCTTGCCAGGTGGTTTGCCAATTGTGGTTTTTTAATTTTAGTTGTTATCGAGAAGACGCTACTGCCCATCTCCTGGTTGGTTTCCTTCTGTCGCCCCTTACGACACCCACGCGACGATAAGGGGTAGTGGATATTCTTGCACTCCACTACACGGTTACTGTCGCTAATTTATGTCAATATGTGTATTTATGATCATTAAGTGTCGCCTATTTATGGTCAACGCTTATTTACGGTTGATATGTGTTGATTGTACAATTCGTAAGTAACATGGGGGGGAGGGTATATTGCCATAGTTGCCACGCTTAGCGAGCGGTTTGGCAACCGAACTTTTTTTGTACGGTTGCTGCTATCAGGCAGATGCTGCAGCTCATCTCCTGCATGTTTCCCTCTGTCGCCTTTTACGACACCCACGTGAAGATATGGGGTAGTGGATATTCTTAACCGCCACTACACGGCAATGATAGTACAACCAGTGCGTGTTGCCAGTGATGACTTACGGATCTGAGACGTGGTCTTTCACTGCTGGCCGTATGAGTACGCACAAGGTCGCTCAGCGAGCTATGGAGAGGGCTATGCTCGGGGTTTCTCTGCGTGATAAACTCAGAAATGAGCATATCCGCAGTAGAACCAGAGTGACCGACATAGCCCAACGGATTAGTAAGCTGAAGTGGCAATGAGCCGCCCATATAGCTCGAAGAACCGATAACCGATGGGGAAGAAAGGTTCTCGAGTGGCAGCCTCGTACCGGTAGGCGCAGTGTAGGGCGACCCCCCATTAGATGGAGTGACGACCTAGTAAGACATGCAGGAAGTTGATGGATGCAGGTGCCTCAGGACCGTGCTTTGTGACATTACTTGGGAGAGACCTATGTTCAGCAGTGGACTTGTGAAAGGCTGTAATGATGATGATGATGATGTGTTGATTAAACTAGACTTGCAACGAATAGTAAATTCAAACGCACGCCGGATACCGAATATTCGGATAATGCGGAATTCCTGGCCGAATATTAGGTAAAAGTGTTTATTCTTCGGAGCTTCTATTTTCTGAAGCTAGGGTTGTCAACGAGAAGAAAAGGCTACCAATTATCTGACTAAAATTAAACCTCTTACTTAAGTATTCGGTATTCGGACGAAGAGTACCCGAATATTCGGCATTCGACCGAAGAGGATAAAAGTAGCCGAATACCGAATAATAGCCCAATATTCGTAGCAAGTTTTGGTTAAATCGTTTGGTTGTTTGGTCCAATATCATTAATACAGCCCATCAATTAACCGGTCCGGCCCATCAATATACGGTCCTGAGTTACCTGTATCCATTGACTCATTACATCTCTTACCAGGTCATTACTCTAGTAGTGGAGAGGGCCTTACACTTCGCTTATGGTCAATGTTTATAGTTATGTGACGCCGAAATTCTAGTGTCAGACCTGGGCTTGAGGCTGTGCCGGTGCTGTAGTGGCAGCTCGCCCACGTGCTGGAAGAACTGTCGCTGCGGCAGTTAGAACAGTTGGAACAGTTAGAGGGTGTCTGTGTCTGTGTCTGACCTGGGCTTGTGGCTGTGCCGGTGCTGTAGCGGCAGCTCGCCCACGTGCTGGAAGAACTGTCGCGGCGGCAGTTAGAACAGTTGGAACAGTTAGAGGGTGTCTGTTCTGACCTGGGCTTGTGGCTGTGCCGCTGCTGTAGCGTCAGCTCACCTACGTGCTGGAAGAACTGTCGCGGCAGCAGTTAGAACAGTTGGAACAGTTAGAGGGTGTCTGTGTCTGTGTCTGACTTGGGCTTGTGGCTATGCCGGTGCTGTAGCGGCAGCTCGCCCACGTGCTGGAAGAACTGTCGCGGCGGCAGTTAGAACAGTTGGAACAGTTAGAGGGTGTCTGTGTATGTGTCTGACTTGGGCTTGTGGCTATGCCGGTGCTGTAGCGGCAGCTCGCCCACGTGCTGGAAGAACTGTCGCGGCGGCAGTTAGAACAGTTGGAACAGTTAGAGGGTGTCTGTGTCTGTGTCTGACTTGGGCTTGTGGCTATGCCGGTGCTGTAGCGGCAGCTCGCCCACGTGCTGGAAGAACTGTCGCGGCGGCAGTTAGAACAGTTGGAACAGTTAGAGGGTGTCTGTGTCTGTGTCTGACTTGGGCTTGTGGCTATGTCGGTGCTGTAGCGGCAGCTCGCCCACGTGCTGGAAGAACTGTCGCGGCGGCAGTTAGAACAGTTGGAACAGTTAGAGGGTGTCTGTGTCTGACCTGGGCTTGTGGCTGTGCCGGTGCTGTAACGGCAGCTCGCTCACGTGCTGGAAGAACTGTCGCGGCGGCAGTTAGAACAGTTGGAACAGTTAGAGGGTGTCTGTTTCTGTGTCTGACCTGGGCTCGTGGCTGTGCCGGTGCCGTAGCGGCAGCTCGCCCACGTGCTGGAAGAAATGTCGCGGCGGCAGTTAGAACAGTTGGAACAGTTAGAGGGTGTCTGTGTCTGTGTCTGACTTGGGCTTGTGGCTATGCCGGTGCTGTAGCGGCAGCTCGCCCACGTGCTGGAAGAACTGTCGCGGCGGCAGTTAGAACAGTTGGAACAGTTAGAGGGTGTCTGTGTATGTGTCTGACTTGGGCTTGTGGCTATGCCGGTGCTGTAGCGGCAGCTCGCCCACGTGCTGGAAGAACTGTCGCGGCGGCAGTTAGAACAGTTGAACAGTTAGAGGGTGTCTGTGTCTGTGTCTGACTTGGGCTTGTGGCTATGCCGGTGCTGTAGCGGCAGCTCGCCCACGTGCTGGAAGAACTGTCGCGGCAGCAGTTAGAACAGTTGGAACAGTTAGAGGGTGTCTGTGTCTGTGTCTGACCTGGGCTTGTGGCTGTGCCGGTGCTGTAGCGGCAGCTCGCCCACGTGCTGGAAGAACTGTCGCGGCGGCAGTTAGAACAGTTGGAACAGTTAGAGGGTGTCTGCTGTCTGACCTGGGCTTGTGGCTGTGCCGCTGCTGTAGCGGCAGCTCGCCCACGTGCTGGAAAAACTTTCGCGGCAGCAGTTAGAACAGTTGGAACAGTTAGAGGGTGTCTGTGTCTGTGTCTGACCTGGGCTTGTGGCTGTGCCGGTGCTGTAGCGGCAGCTCGCCCACGTGCTGGAAGAACTGTCGCGGCGGCAGTTAGAACAGTTGGAACAGTTAGAGGGTGTCTGTGTCTGTGTCTGACCTGGGCTTGTGGCTGTGCCGGTGCTGTAGCGGCAGCTCGCCCACGTGCTGGAAGAACTGTCGCGGCAGCAGTTAGAACAGTTGGAACAGTTAGAGGGTGTCTGTGTCTGTGTCTGACTTGGGCTTGTGGCTTTGCCGGTGCTGTAGCGGCAGCTCGCCCACGTGCTGGAAGAACTGTCGCGGCGGCAGTTAGAACAGTTGGAACAGTTAGAGGGTGTCTGTGTATGTGTCTGACTTGGGCTTGTGGCTATGCCGGTGCTGTAGCGGCAGCTCGCCCACGTGCTGGAAGAACTGTCGCGGCGGCAGTTAGAACAGTTGGAACAGTTAGAGGGTGTCTGTGTCTGTGTCTGACTTGGGCTTGTGGCTATGCCGGTGCTGTAGCGGCAGCTCGCCCACGTGCTGGAAGAACTGTCGCGGCAGCAGTTAGAACAGTTGGAACAGTTAGAGGGTGTCTGTGATGTGTCTGACCTGGGCTTGTGGCTGTGCCGGTGCTGCAACGGCAGCTCGCCCACGTGCTGGAAGAACTGTCGCGGCGGCAGTTAGAACAGTTGGAACAGTTAGAGGGTGTCTGTGTCTGTGTCTGACTTGGGCTTGTGGCTATGCCGGTGCTGTAGCGGCAGCTCGCCCACGTGCTGGAAGAACTGTCGCGGCGGCAGTTAGAACAGTTGGAACAGTTAGAGGGGTGTCTGTGTCTGACTTGGGCTTGTGGCTGTGCCGGTGCTGCAACGGCAGCTCGCTCACGTGCTGGAAGAACTGTCGCGGCGGCAGTTAGAACAGTTGGAACAGTTAGAGGGTGTTTGTGTCTGTGTCTGACTTGGGCTTGTGGCTATGCCGGTGCTGTAGCGGCAGCTCGCCCACGTGCTGGAAGAACTGTCGCGGCGGCAGTTAGAACAGTTGGAACAGTTAGAGGGTGTCTGTGTCTGACCTGGGCTTGTGGCTGTGCCGGTGCTGCAGCGGTAGCTCGCCCACGTGCTGGAAGAACTGTCGTGGCGGCAGACGGTGCCGGAGCCTTCGTAAGGCTGCCTGCAGCTCCGCACCTCGAAATGATTCGTGGTGCAACGCCTAAACAATTTTGAAGAAAATATACCATGGTATATTTTTAACTGTGATGGAGGTAAATTTAACATAAGAGCGTCTTTCAATAAGATATAACTGTTTATTCGATACACACACATTTTACATACATTTCAAAAGGTATACAAACGCAAGGGGCAAAAATATGCATTGCATCAGTCTAAAACTGTCGCGTCATCATTACAGCCCTTCACAAGTTCACTGCTGAGCATAGACCTCTCCCAAGGAATGCCACAAAGCACGGTCCTGAGCCACCTGCATCCATCGACTTCCTGCATGTCTTACCAGGTCGTAACTCCATCTAGTGGGGGGTCGCCCTACACTACTAAAACTGCTTACGCATTAACAATAAAGAAGCAGTGCATGCACATAATTAATCAATAATAAAACAAAAAAATGTGACCAAATATATCTTACTTGACTTACTCAGCAAAACTCTGCAAGGCAAACTATTTATAACCTATATTAAATAAAAGAGTTTCTATTTTTATTTCTATTGTTACAAGATCAAAAAAATTAAGTAACTAACTAAGTAGAACATTTTTAAGCTAACTAAGACTGCGGCGTGAGTATAAGTTCCGAGTTGTAAGCTACAGTTAAATACTGTTTTATTCAGAATCTTTACTTAAGCAAAATGTAAATGCGTGTACAATGAATTTTACATTTCATAAAGTATCATCAAAATATATTGTAAAATATTTTAAGACTTGATATTAAGAAAACCGCCGATCTGTGGGGGATTTCCGTTAAAGTTATAGCGTTTATAATAGATACAATCGCACCTCAACTATCTAAATTTTTTTAACACTTGTATCAAATCTGGTGTGTTTCCTGATTTAATGAAGCATAATAAAGTAATACCTTTATATAAATCTGGTAGTGCATTGGAGCCTGTTAATTGTAGACCTATTTCTGTACTGCCAACACTTAGTAACATTTTAAAAAAAATATTCTTGATCAAATGTTAAATTATTTTTAATGTAAATAATTTACTTCATAAAAATCAATTCGGTTTCACAAGAGGGCGCTCGACTACTGATGCTGGTGTTGAGCTGATTAAATATATCTTCAATGCATGGGAGAAGATACAGGATGCTTTGGGTATATTCTATGACCTATCCACAGCCTTCGATTGTGTTCACTATGAAACATTAATCAGGAAACTTCAACACTACGGTGTATGAAGTGATGATCTTAATTTAATTATTTAATATTTAAGTAACAGAACGCAAAAAAGTTGTCATTAATAGTATGAGTTCTTTTGGATCGATTGTGCAAATGGGTGTGCTTCAGGGCTCAATTCTCGGTCCCTTTAGTTTCGTGTACATATTAATGATTTACCTTACACAGTAGGGGGATAACCATGATATAGTATTATTTGCTGATGAAACTTCATTAATTTTCAAATTAAAACAACAGTTCGAAGTAAATAATGCTATAGCTAAGTTATTCAATTGGTTTAATGTTAATAATTTGCATTTAAATGGAACTAAAATTAAATGCATGAAATTCGTAATTCCGAATGTCAAACATGTTAATCTAACATACTAATCTAATTTTAAATGGGGAAGAACTGAGTCTTGTTGTACCATTCTTATTGGAATCATACTAAACGCAAAGCTTCAATGGGGCCCCATATATCAAAACTAGCTAGCAGACTTAGTTCTGGAGCATATATGCTGTAAAAAATATTAGAACTCTTACCAGTGTTGAAACTACTAGAATAGTTTACGCCATCAAAAACATAACTTGTAAAAAAAAACAAGTTTCGCAACTCAGTTCTTCTACCGTAAAAAGTTGTGAGATCCATGTAATGCAAGTCGGTTAATTTATTCAGTCCCTACTTAAGGTTTCTTCTGTTTTAAGTTATTACATAACTAGCTAACCTAACAACATCTTATAGTGACCATATCAATATAAACCTTTTATGTTTAAATAAAGAACTTATACTCGCGCCGCATTATTATCGTACTAAATACTTTAAGAATTACTTTATAGTTAAGACCATTTCTTCCTCCGCAAATTCGTCGAGCACACTAGATAAGGTTAAGACTTACGTCAAAAATCACTACCTAACTCTTCAGTAATCACTGGTCATCATTTGCGATATTTAATTTTTGTATCCTGTCTGTATTTATGTAAATTATATCTATATTTGCCTATTTATTATTATGTAAGTCTATCAAGTTTTTATTGTATATATATTAGTGTATAAAATATTTTGTTATTATGTATCGGTTTACTTTATTTATGTTTAGTATTTAAGTGTGTTATAATATACACCCCCTCCAACTGTCCAATAGTTCAATTTTCTGCAAATATTAAGGTTGTCTGGAAGAGAACCCTTTTTATCGATATTGTACCTACCTCTTAAATATTAGTTTCTGCAATCTGTTTTTTTTATATTTTTGTGGTGTACAATAAAGTATATAATAAATAAATAAATAAATGGACTGACTTAGGCCATCGCATGAAAACACAATGTATCTCACAAGTAATACATATTATATTAAATTAGATTGTTTAGTACGATTGCCAAGTCAATCTATTTACCAAAATTGAAACATAAATATAAAGATTTTTCATATTGAAAACTATGTGTCACTATAAGCAAGACAATGTATAGGTTAGCTGCCTAAAAATTACGTAATAACTTAAACAGAAGAAACCTTAAGTAGGAACTGAATAAATTAACCGACTTGATATTACATGGATCTCACGACTTTTTACGGTAGAAGAACTGAGTTGCGAGACTTGGTTCTTTTACAAGTTATGTTTTTGATGGCAACTCAATTCTTTTTGTAGATAGTCCTACTCTTTCCCTTACCGATAACTTCTACTTCTTGAATAACAACAACGTACCTATCTACACCTATTATTCCATTATATATATTCAGGTACACTGATTCATTCACTGCAAATGTAAATTTGTAATCCTATATATTTATATGGGATTACAAAGTTATTTATGCATTTGGTGTATCTGGAAAATTGGACCGAATTGCAAAATATTTTAGTTTTTTCTTGATTTATACACTAAACACTAATTGTATTCTTAATTTTAAGCTTCTACGTCTGCTAGAAGTCTTAGTGTTTTGATGATCGGTCAGTGAGTGTCAAAATTAAGAAACTTTGACTAGTTATACTTCTTAAACTACTGGTTCAAACTGAATGAAATTTGAAATAAATCGCGTTCATATAATGCCTGCTTGGTTACTGAAAATTCAAGCTTCTAGTTTTATCCACAACGAAGTTATAGGGAGTTAAAAATGGCCTGGAACTGCTTCGAGAAAAGGATGCCGTGCCGCTTTTTTTGCTCGACTTGGCGGGGGCACTGCCGTGCCTCCAGACTTTAGCTATTTCCATAGCATTATGTCGTATGGTATTTTGCTACGAGGACACGCGACTGACACTGAAATTATATTTGTTTTGCAGAAGAGGGCCATTAGAGCAATATATGATTTAAAGCCAAAAGAGTCGATCAGACAAAAATTTTAGGAAATGTAATATACGTACACAAAATAAAAGTAGTTTTACAAAAATAAATGATATTCATTCTGTAAATACTAGGAACAGACACAAGCTAGTAGTACCAGTTACTCGACTCCACCGAGTCAGTAATTCATTCTTGAGCGATGTATACGCTTTTACAACAAAATCCCAGAAAATATACAAAATTTGTCATACACAAAGTTCAAAAATTTTATTAAACTAAGTTTGTATAAAAAGGGTTATTATAATATTAAGGAATTTATGAATGATAATAACCCCTGGGAAGGGTGTTTGCTATCAAGCTATTTTTAATTTGTTATTTTTTAAATTGTAACATACATGATTGTAAGCTATTATTTGAAAAAAAATAGTCCCGCTGGGTTTCTTGCTGGTTTTTCCCAGGACAAAGGTTTTTTTGCGAACCAGTGGCAAAATAAAAAAGTGACTTTCAATGAGTATTGTTTACAATGTATATTGAATAAAAAAGTTTCTGTTTAACAATATGGGGTAGTGAATATTTCATATTATCACAACACGGTTACACACACAGTTGTTAGTGACACCGCTAATAGAAAAAAGCAATACCGTATGAGAGAAGCAGTAAGTTCTCATAAAATATTGCTTGTAACTCCTGAGGTTTTTAACTACAAGTTGCTCGTACGAATGTATGAAGTTTTCTATGTTGATATTAAATCTGGCTCTCAGTCAAATCATTCCTGAAACTTGTGATGCTTTGTACAAAGTTTTACAGAAAGATTACATAAAAGTTAGTTTTGCTTAATATATAAAAATATTTTACGTAATACAGAAATCTGTTTAATTTTACAAAATGTTATGATTTTTTGGTTATATCTTTTGAATTAAGTAAAAATTTTTGGCAGTTCCCGACTCAATAAAATTATTATTATGCTTCCCACATCATGAATAGATTAAAATAGATTAAAATGGTAAAGATTTTTTTAAAGAGGTAAAACTAAAGCTTTTCTTCAATTTAATGAAAAAGTAACATAAGCTTTTGGAAGGAGTTTCACTAGAAAACATTTTCGATGATGTTGATGCTATTAACAAAACACAATTGTAATCGTATGTAGTTTTTATTAAATCATAAGAATGAAATAGTGATCGAAAATGATGATTCAAGAATGAAGAAATGCAATCTTAATAATACAATACAAATCCATCAACACCAAAACTATTTATAAATGAAGCAGCTGTAGAGGATCGTGAGCCTGGGCATGTGGTTGATACGGTGTGTGGCTGAGTGGAAAAGGTTTCGGCGTATAGTCGATTAGATGATATGGTGTGTAGCTGATTGGAGACAGTTTGAACGTTTGGTAGTTTAGATGATGCTTGAATGTGTGGCTGAGTGGAAAAGGTTCCGGCGTATAGTTGATTAGATGATATGGTGTGTAGCTGATTGGAGACAGTTTGAACGTTTGGTAGTTTAGATGATGCTTGAATGTGTGGCTGAGTGGAAAAGGTTTCGGCGTATAGTT